GACACGCGCTAGACTTATCATCTCACTTATCACTTATCATTCTCCAGCAGTGGACGTTTCCCGGCTGATATAATATTTTTTGAGCTATAATGTAGGTTTGAAGCTTTGGTATATCGTTACAAATGCAACATCGATCATTACCCTGCATACTCTATGACATTAAAGAGATGAACGACGAAATAGTCTACGATATATCTAGTGTTGGTTTTAATAGTGTTTATGCACACCTTTTTATGATAGTAAGAAAGAAGTAAGTCTTTATATATAATAATTATAATAATGTAACAAATAAATTAAAAGTACCTACTAGTATACGAGTATGAAGTGATAATGATATGAGTATACGCAGCGTGATTGATTACCAATGACAACTACAAATTGACAAGTATACTTTCATTTCAATAGAACCTCAACGACTTACGTTTTGCCATTTAACTATGTACCTAAGCCCAATATTATTAGTGTAATGTCTTCCTCACAATAATGGCGACAGATATATGGCGACCGGGAATCAAGTCAGGGAACTTAGAGATGGCGACACCTTGTAACCGGCGTGCGGACCGCTCAGCTATGGACGTCGTCGTTTTTCTTGACTTACGGAAGCGAAAGTTTTAACCTACGATGTCTTATGATCACACCTATTGCATTAAAAATTATTATCATCTACGTGAATGTTACATATTATGCCCGGTTATTATATCTGATCAATTTTGTATTCAAAATACTGGAAAATAATATTGATGAAAAATGCTTAAATACTGGATATCTCAGTGGGTAGAGTACTAGCCCGGATTGCGAACGATCGCGTGTTCGAGTCTGATCTTAGTGAACCTGAGAATGGTGGACTTTTAAGCATTTTTCAATGAGGTCATATTAGGACCAATAAGAAATTAATGAGTCAATACTCATAACTTCTTAATAGAATAAAGCAAGGCATAAAAGTAGACCTCAAAAACCCTCAAAAGTACAACTCCTTTTTAATCCATTTAACTTGATTAGTTATGAAGCTGACTGCTCCAACGATAAACTATTTCTTTTCGAAATTTCGGTTCTAAATAAAAAACTTATCTAGGATCGTCTGCTACAAATATTTTCGATTTACCGTACTCTGACCTGGTTGGCGACATTAAAAACACGTTAGTTAGAGCAAGATTTACGACGAAACTATACGCTATACCGATCACGATATGAATATACCGATTTCACGACTACCAGAACTCGATTCCGCCAGTGTTAACGTGGTAATGGCAGTATAATGGCGTTTTATTTATTTACATATTCCAACTACTAACTGACACTAATATTGCACAATGGCGTGTTGATTAATCAATAAGTAGCTTGGTGGCGTAGTGGATAAGCGCCACGATCCGCGATCGTTGTTGTTAAGCAACTTTTGCAATGGTTGATCACGGGATGGGTAACCAAAAAATTGTTAAGCCGTTGGTCCCGGCTGAATTTGTAGTCGTAAATACCTTCCAATCCGCATTGGATCAGCATGGAGGGTCATGGCCGATCTTCCTTAACCATCCATAAGGAAGCTCTGAGGGGACGTAATAGAGTTGATGATGATGAATTTATGATGACAGACTCTTTTGTTGTGTTGTAATATAGTTATAAGAACTATGTCGAATAAAATTGAACAATACTGACACGCCACAATTATGTTAACATTATCGGAGTCGAACCTCAGAGCTTACTTAAATAGTTTACCTATAGAAATAGAAACATGAATTATTATAAGAAAATAACAAAGATCCCTAATAGTGTACATAAATGTAAAAAAAAATCCGCCAAATTTGAGCTGGACTCGCTCTCTGAGTGTTCCGTCCTTTGCAGGGAAACAAATAATTGAAGAAATAAATATATTTTGAAATATGCACATCAACTACTATATTTATGATTTAATTTTGCCTGGTCGGGAATTGAGCGAGAGACCGCAGAGCTGGTGACAACTTGAAACACTTGATTTAACGACTACGGATGTTATCGGGTTGTGCCGTATTCATCCTATGACGTCTCATCCTATTTCTTCACTCATCCCAAACTCTGTATTCCTAACTCAACCTATGAATATTTTTCTTAAGTCATCCTAAACGCGTATTCCTTACTCATCCTGAAGCAAATATTACTAAAAAGTATGGATAGCGAAACAACGTTTAATATTTTTACGGAAAATTATTATCTATACGATAAATATCCTTATCTAGTACATATTAGAAATAAAAACTATTATTTATAAAATATGTACTTACTCCATCATCGTCAGCCTTTTAATGTCCCCACAACTGGGGCACAGATGGATGGAAAAGAATCAATGAATAAGGATTATATGTATAGTGATGAAGATTCATCATCACTATTATATTTATTAATTTAATTACTATATAGTAATTCAAAATTTCTTTACCAGTACCCTCTGTAGATAGATCTCTAACTACATAAAATTAGTAGGGGTTAACAATGCTTAGTCATACGGCAGTGATTTCGCGCCTTTGGTACTTTTTTATGAGACAGACTTTAGACATATTGCCACAGAGTAAACAGTCTTATGCACGTGAAAATTCTAAACCATTTTATAATCCAAATCTTTGGCGAGGCGATTTAGTACTAGTCTAACTAGTTAATAGTTCTTTAATCTGTGATTTTTGTAGATGATTTTTAAAATGCAGTTGATTTTGTCTAGTCAGTTATAGAAACGACAAAATCAATCATAACTATTATGATTGATTTTGTTTTGCCATTACTCTTTATTCTTGCTATTAAACATATGGGTTCCTTAATGTTAAGTGAATTCTTAACAATTTTATATAATTTATATTCTTTTCCATTAAAACATACGATTTTTTAAAGACATTATTTGAAAGAAAATTTTAAATAAAGCATTGTGAATGCAAAATTTATCTCTTATTATATCTTTCAGAATTCCTGCTGTTTTATTTTATATAGAGCAACAATTAACTCAGATTATATTAAAAGATAATATTTTTGTTCAGACCGTACACAAAATTCTTACATTTTTTGCGTGATTTAAAATTGGGATGAGCTAAGAACACCGATAGGATGAGTAAGGAATTCAAAATTAAAATTAATTAAAATAAATTGTTGTGGGTTGAGTGAAGAACAAAAATAGGATGAGTAAGGAAAAAATAATGCATAGGATGAGACGTCATAGGATGAATACGGAACAACCCATGTTATCGACCAAATAAAAGAAAAGCGAATAAAAATTGATATATGTTCCCATGAGCTGAATTTTTCAAGAGACTACCTCGACGCTGATCTTCCATGGACACCAAATGAGGAGAACACACTACTATGCACCATACATCAATATCTATATTATATACTCTACCTAAACATTTAAATAGATACGTAAATCAGTATTACATAAACCATGCATAACAGACAATATGATTGAAAATACAATTTAAATTATAAGTCTGTATATAAATTACTCAACACAACACTTAAAACGGCCTCTTTAAATCAAGAAAATGTTTTTTATTTACATTAGTTTTAATTTTCTATTCGATACTTCTAACGTTTTCAAAAATAAAAAACGCATAGGAGGACTACAAAACTATTATCCTCCTTTGAGGTAAAGGAGGATAATAGATCCTAAAACCCTAAAAAAGAAAAGAAATTGGGTGATTAAATTTTCATACGCCATTTGTTTTCCAATACGGGCTTGAGCTTTCTGCTAATATTATAATGTTATTTATTAACATTCGAGTGACTCCGTGAGAAAACTGGCATGAAAGTGGAATATACTCTTGAACTATTCGATAATTTACAGTTATTTTTGTTGTAAGAGATAACCTGACAATATCTAAGTCCATTAAAGTCCGGATGTTAAAGAATCTCCTTTAAGCGTTTATAACAGTTCCGAAATATCAGCGCTTAATAATAAGGAACATAGAATATGTAACAAGGTTTTCCAAAGTACATTTCGCGGTTTTCGAAAGAAAATCGTTCCTCCATTTTCTTTCAATGTGATAAATAATTGATTAAGAAAATGCGATTTGTTTTCATGAAATTTTGACGATAATAAAATAAGTTGTCCTCGTGTTTTTTAGTTCTTCAATTTAATATCAAAATTTCGGAGTTTTTTTTAATATTTTTTTGCACCGTCAATTTCAGTTTTTAATAGTAGGTATGTTACTTAAAAACGTTGTTTGGACGAATGAAAATTTGCTTATTTGATCTATTTGGTCGTCACTGTTCTTTAGAGAATTTAGTGATTTTAAAATACTTCCATAATGCAACTTGTTTCATTCGAATTATTTTTTAATTTAACTCTACGGTACAGTCAATCATATAATAAAATAAAGACTCCTTTTAGTACCAGATTAAAACCATTATCCGACTAAAATAAGTTAAAACATCTCAATTTCTTGTCTTCTGTCCTAGTCAGTTTAATTTAATTAATTATGTTAGGCGGTCAATGGTTTATAATACGGAGTGAGTCTTCTACAATCTTATAATTATTACTATTATTTAGTTCCAATCATTCATATTGAAAGTTCTTGACTGAATCAATATTTAATTGCATCCTTGTTTAATATCGGAGCATCGGAACATTTATAATCCCGAAGACTAATCTCTTCAAATAGATAAACTCTGTCGCGTTCTTGATAAAGGGAGATTAAAGCCTAGAGCTTTTCATAATTTATTCTCATATTGTTTTGATTTATATAGTGCTTGCTTTGTTGTTTTCAACGAAGTAAGTAACTAAACCGATTTCATTATAAAAGGGAAACAAATTTTTTTTTTTTACGTTGGTTATCTTTTAACCGTGCCCAAATTAATGAAAAAATGTTTGCACTAAGAATATTGAATGGAACAACCGATGTCTCATCAGTCTAGTGCAATAACTTCGGATTCTGTGACGAAAATGAAAGACTAACGTTAAATTCCATTAAAAATATTATATGTAATAAGCTCAAGATTGAGAAAAGATCTTTAGAAATGTTTTAAAAAGTTGTAGAGAAAAGCCTTACCTTTTTGCAACGAGCCAATGCAATGATTGTGATGAGATTCCCAGGTATCCCGACCAGCATGAACAGTACACAGCAGATCGAAGCGAAGCGCAGCAACGCTTCCGGGTAATCTTTGAACAGTTCCACTGCAGCTAATGCCTCGTCGGTACTGTACTCGTCTAATCCCACAACGCTCCAATTGTGTCCTTCTACTTCACTCGCGAATGTACTCTTCGGTATACTTGGCAACAAATCACCCATTTTAACATATCATTCACGAACATCATTTGTTTATAATGGTAACTAATTTCTCTCCGTACCGGGTCACACAATTAGGTTAGGACGCTAGCGAGCGCCGCGAACAACTGATAACTGGCTAACTTGGATGCCGCCAACTTAATATGTGTTTGTTGATAGAGCATTTCGTTGATGTGCGAGGTTATCAAGCAGCTGGTCAGGAAGCGACTCCGTATCACTGCCATGTCGGTCCCATTGTTCGGTATCTGTAAATGATAAACATGCCTTTATTTCGGTGAATGTTTGATGATAACTGCAGTTTTGTTGTTTGGATTTAACTCACTTTTTATTTATTTGATTACTTATGAATGAGATCTTTATAGGGCATTATCTTAATGATATCGTCGAAAAATAAAGGAAGATATATCGTATTATTAACGATTGCGAAACCGATAAATATAATAATGATATTCAAACTCTCTCGACGGAAGATCCGTTGTGTATTAATGCGTCCTCCCGTGAGACCCTTGACGGATCTATCGCTGGATTTCGACCGACACTTAAATGCCATTATTATGATATGAAGATTGCTTATTCTTGCAAAAGATAAATTTATTGTTGTTTATCGTACAATTTTAATATTGATAATCGTGGATAGTTAAAAAAAGTAGTTCAAATATCTACACAATAAGTTTAATTTTAGGGAACGTTTTAATATAGACTTGTTCAGCTGTCTCAATAAACATATCACACTCGAGAAAAGAGTTATCTATACTTATGTTATAAAAAGATAAAGTTTCTAACTTTTTGTTTGTTTGTAGGAAATACTGATCCAATCACGAAAGTGATTTCACTTACGGGAAGTTACATCATACGTGGGTCACTTATGCTATAATTTATATGGCAAAACAGGAAATTAAACCCCTAATGACGTATACATACACTTGAAGAGTGAAATTTTTAAACATACCACAGATGAGCATTTTAATATTGTGGATTTAATTAATTTCTAATATGACAAAGAAGAGGAACTAGATGGCTCGTGCGTTCGGTCTATGATACGGTTGTTAAGCATTACATAGAGCGAGTGATCAAAAATTTATCATCTCGAACTCCTCCGTGCTTTGTAAGACAGGTCCTGACTGCATCTGCAGTCATTAATATCTACCATTACGCACTGGGTCCGGAATGGTCGTGGGCGATTCTTCATTCGATTCGATTCCATAGGAAAGGCTTGAACTCCAGCAATGGGGACATTAATAGGTCAGTGATGATGTGATGCGATGACAAAGAAACTCTTTTCTATTAAAAGAATAGATAGTCTATTATTGACATTGTTGTTGGGCAAGGTAAGACTGATAGTTAAGCTCCGTTTACTTGTATATAAGAAATAATGTTTCCACGTAAAAGGAAATAGGTAATGACGAAATACGCAGACTAGCATGATAACAGTACATTTGAATAATTCCTTTGTAGAAATAATCATTACTACAGAGCGGCATATGAATTTCGTTTAGATTATCACACAATTACACTGTAACTCTGTTAAATTTATAACTCTATTCTTAACGCATTAGTATTAAGGTATAAAATTAATTGGAGAATTTTGTCAGTTTTGGTAAATATTGTTGACTGTACAGATAATTTTGTGAAATTAATGATTATTACAAATTTAATTTGCATACTTTTTTATTCTAAATTTATAGGACTCGAGATAATACTAACTTGATATCTAATTAAGAATACCGTCGAGATAAAAGAAAGCTCCGTCGTATTTTTTATAAGTGGAAGTTGGGAACATAAAAGTGGCAAACTGATTCAATATTAAAAGAGGGAAAAGATATATTAATTTTATCATTTTGTTAGATTACTAGCTGTTTTTTCGCGACTTTGTTCGCATAAATAGAATCCCATATCACTCCCGTATTATGTAAACGTATTATGTCCTTAGTAAACAAACAAACCTTTCCTGTTTGTTTATAATAATATTGATATAAATCGGGTATCATTTTCAAAAAATAATTATAAAAAAATTGGATTTAGAGTAGAATACTGAAGCTAACATAAGAATGTTGTAGTATCATAAAGTCATTTGCGTTATTAAAGGTAAATGTTGTAAGCTACCAGCCGCCATTATTTATTCCGTGATTAACAGTTAAAGATTATTTATCACACGAATAAAAAATGTCGCACTTCAGTTAATTTACAAAAAACATTTTATATCAATCAGTGCATCCGCTGATAGTTTCTTCATTAAATAAGATATTCATATAAGCAGAGTTATTTTTTTAATATGTAAAGATAATACAGTATCAGAATATAAATTGACGTAAAAGATATTTTCTTTTTAGTATTACATTAAAAAGAAAATTCAACTATAGTAATAATGATATTGCAAAACATGATTGATGTGCCTGTTATTTAAAATGTCGCCTGGGAATATTATACATAATATATAAAGAAGATACTCATTTCTTCTAAAGGATATTAATCTTGGGAATACCTAAATTAAATTATAAAAGTTCATTGAAAATTCTAATATCTAATTATGAATATTTTATGTCAACTTTTAGAATGAAAGTTAAGGGTTGTTCCCTGTGGGTTATATCGCTAATTAATGAACCTTACATTAAACGTTTGAAGTAATTAATTAAATAAAAATGAGTAAAAATGTTTTATTTATAAAAATAACGAAAATGTAAACGGTCTCAGTGCAAAATTTTAAAATGATATTTAATAATATCACATACGAGTACATTACTCCGAAACCATCTGAAATATTGTACATTCTATTCATTCCTTTTACAAATCTCCACTTAGTAAGTTCAGGTACATACCATATGTCGATAAAAATATACAATAAAATACCAAAATACATTACAGATATAGAAATAAATGTAATATTTTACAAACAGTTAAAAAGATATTTAATAGACCAATGCTACTATAATTTAACGGAATTCTTGGATTAGAAACTTGTAATTAACGGATTGTTTTTGTTTATAATTGTATTGTTTTGTGTTAACTCAATTGTAACAATTGATTTAACTTAACTTGAATTTATTGTAATTTTGTGAAGCAATGTATGTTGCAATGTCCTTGCAGGACACATGTTGAGGATAATTTATATGTAAGAACATATGTACTAACATGGAGCGATAAATATTATGACTATACTAAAGGGACCGTAACACATAAGAACACAAGAGATAATAGAAGTACGTTTATTGGCTAAAAGACAAATAACAAACAAAAAGTAAGCAGTAAAGTATAATTATAAAGACACTCATAAGACACCAAATAATTTCTAGCTCAGAATAATTATGATTAACTGATTCTCATTCTATTAGACTACTTAATATTCCTACTTATCTCTTATAGATAAAGGCTTAAGTGAAACGGGCAATTTGTGTGCATGAGTTGTCATTGTAACAGTTGGGTTAATTGCGGGATTATTACAAAGAAACATCAGCACTACTTAATTAATTTTGTGCGTGTGGAAAGGTTCTATAAGAAATAATCTCGTTATTATTAGTTAAGAGGATACTCGCAATGAGAATCTGAGTGGCAGTATATATATATCATAGTTAACCGATGCCGTGACTAGATATTGTATGCATCTTTGTCAAAGTACGGACTTTATTAAAATCATAATTCACAGAGATGTACTTCAGTGGGTTGGACGTGAAAAGTCAGACGAAAGAGTGACGACACTAATATATGACGCGACTGTAAAAAGATATAATAGCTGAGGAAGGCTAAGATACATCACTGGTTAATGTCAGATGACATAAAAAGGCGGCTGAGTGAAATAATTTTCATAATAACATTATTACGCTAGTCAACTGGTTATAAAATAATATTATAAATAAGCTTGAATTGACTTTACCCTGTTCTGTTTCTAATTATCACTAGTCACATAATATCAAGAATATCAATTGAAACAAACTGAACGATAGAACCGGTTTTCTAGATGACATACAAGAAGGAACCCCTCATGTAATAACTTTATTATTATTACCATCATTACCACTCATGAAATACTAAATTATTTATAATATTTATTAAATGCGTGATTTCACGAGTGGTCAATTTCTATGTCTAGGCGCAGAAATATAAGTTTATTTATTTTAAAAGTGTTGCAAAATCTAATTTGCTTTATGCTTGGCGTAGTAAAAAACTGATATGTTACTTATATCATATCAATGGTAGGCCCTTAGATTATTTTGTTATGTTATCAACGATTTATCTAAATAAAGCCTATTATCATTTAAATAGAAACCTAAACACAATACTTTATATATAAATATTGAAAGCGTTCAGGCTGTTTAAAGTTATATGGATAAACTCATGAATCCTATGTCACTTCGAGTCAAGATTAATGATCGCGCTAAGGAAAAAGAGAAAAGCATCCCGAAGACATCCCATGAGTGCATATACGCGACTCTATAAAAGAATATGTAAATCTTGCCATCATTAATATTGGATTAAGACACGAAATATATTGTCAACCTCCTTACGTAGTTTTCCTTCTCGTTTCAAAGTGAGCAATCATTATTTAAAGCTTTGTAGCAGAAAGGCCAAAAATGGGACCCTTATAGATTCGTCATATGTACTTATCTATCCGTGCGGTGTGTAAGCCACTTTCTCCGAAACCCTTAGAACTTTAGAGGTATTCGGTGGGGTAGTTAATAAGCGCCGCGGCACGCGATAGTTGTTGTTAAGCAACTTTAGCAAGGGTTGGTCAAGGAATGGCTGATCGAAAATTATTGTCTCGAGCTACTCCGTGCTTCAGAAAGCACGTAGAGCCGATGGGCCCTCCAACCGCATTGGGCCAGCGTGGAAGGTCATGGCTCCTTAATCATCTGACTCAGTACGTAAAGGGGCTGTAGATGATGATGATTAGAACTCCATAGTTGAAATTTATTATAAAGATGTAGTTTGTAACAGTTGTATGGAATTTATATCATAATAAAAAAAAGGTATATAAATGAATATATATGGACCTGTAACTATTTTTAATG